AAAAATGCAATCATATAAGATACATAAACAGGCAATATGTTTTCTTGACACGGCTAATAACAAAAAAGATTTCTCTGGTCAGACCTTTGGTCCCGAAACTCTGATGCGATTACCGTCACGAAAAATATATCCCCCAAAAAACATAAACACGTTTAACTGTTTGTTTAGAAACCTATTATTTGCCCTGCCATGTATTAGCGGCCAAAATAGGCAATTGATCCACGCTTCAAAAACTTTCCGAATTAGTTTGTTATTAATTTAGCGTTGAAAGTGTTATTTAGGGCACCTAAACGAAACCACTCCAAAGCAATAACAGAAAAACAAAAGCATTTTCGGTACATTGGCGCTCAATCAATCGAAAAATACGGAGTGTCCGAAGTTTAGGAATGTCGGAATTAAATCAGTCTTCTCTGTTGAGTTGCTTTCGACCGGACCACAGTGTCAATCCAATCAGTTGGAACCGTAATAAAAGCTTTTATCTTCTTATCGCCTAGTCATATGCATGATGGACAGTCGGGCGCACCTCATGATGGCAACAGATTGCCGACATGAGATCGATAAGGATATATGTCTTTAAATTTATGACGGAAGTTTTCCTACTCTACCAAAATCCATCATCACGATGACAAGACAACGAAAAAAACTCCTGAAGTTAATTATTTAGATCGTTGAGGTATTTGAGGTTTTTCAAACTTATCAAATAGTTGTACTGAATAAAATTACACAACTTGAGGCAATAGAAAATTAAATTTTCCGCGTGGCTTAAAGGCAGAAAGAGGATTCCTGTTGATAGGATTTAGTTTCACTCCTTTATCAAACATGAGTTTTCGGCAGCTCGAATTCAACAAAATAGAATATTTTTTCCGAGAGGCGAATTTAATCAAAATTCAGTTTATGTCTAACTAATGAAAAGTTGCTCTAAATAAAATTTTGATGTGTCTGGAAAAATCCCCGAGCGAGCTTGGATAGTTCAGGTATTAGTCTCGCTTAGAGAAAGAAGTACCTGCTGTGCAGAATATTAAATTTTCACTGACATTAAAAAAAGATACACCGCCGATGATAAAATAATGTCACATCCATCCATAAATGTCCCAAAAGAAACACAAAATCGATCGTTCCGTTGATCTAAACTTTCAAAGAGATCTTTAGCAAGGTGTCATATAAAATAGATCGTCATTTAAAATTTCTGAGCTTATAGTAGTCGGAGCGAAACTTATTAAGCCGAGATTCGTTTCCTTCCAGCTTTCAACTCGATATTTAAAAAACTTTCAGGGAAAGAAATCAAGAGGATCCAAAGTAAAAGTGAAAATAGTTTTCGATTTTGAAACTTGTTTCGTGGTTTTTGTAGTACCTAACTGTCGAAACATAATTCCAAACTTTACAAGCAAGACCTTGCCCTATTTTAATTTTAAGACTTATAAGAGAACAAGAAGTGAATGCAAACAAGAAATGTAATTCCTTTCTTCGAATTCTGATTTAAACTACCCCAGCTTTTTATCCATACCAACATAAGTTTTAAGTATGTTTTTTAAATTGGTAAATTCCAAGTTCACGATGAAGTTGAAGGAACGTATAAATAATTGAACAGTACTCATTTACTTAACCGGAGGGTTGTGTCGAATAAATTTACATTTGATCAATACATCAAAACGACACCAAAAACATTTTAAATTTTCAATGAAGCAAAATGGTACTAAATTCGCTGTTACTGTTCCTTTTATTATAAACAAACGTACTAAACATTCCATTCTTTTATTCATGTTAAAAATTACCGAATAAAAGCTGATGTAATATCACAGATACAGACAATAAAAGCCTTGTTTTATCAAAAAAATCAGTAAAAATAAAAGGATAACTGAGATTTGAGCAGACATTCGTGATAAATTTTTCAAAACTATTTCTACAAGATGTTATAACAGAAAACAGGCATTTCGACGAATAGAAAGAAGAGTAATATCGGAAAAAGTCCACTGAGACTTGACTGAAGTAAATAAAAATTTCATTTCTTAATATAAATTTAATCTCATCTCTACCGTGCATTTCATAGATAGATACTAATTAACTTTTATCAAAACATCCACTTTGTGTAAATATTGAATGTAGACTCGAACAGAGGTAAAATAATTAATCTTAGACGACTGTTGGTATAATAAGATGAAGAACCGAAAGCTGCATTTTCATCTCGATTTCTATTGAAACGTTTGTTGTTCTATTCTGATAGGTATAGCCTGAAAATTTTCTTGCAATTACACGTATGTTTAAACCCGAATCTTATTGAAAATTTAACTGTGTAAGTATCGATTGACCACAAAAGTGTTACAATGCGAGTCTAAATAAATTATAAGGTATTGTCTCAGTTTAATAATAGAAACGTCTCTACAGTTGCAAGATTCGCTTGCAAAGCATCGTCCGTTCAATTTGTAAAAGTGACAGTGTCATTTGTCGTTTTGTTAGACTCTACGGGGTATTTGTTAGTCGAGTGTTTAGCAATAGGAGCAGCACATGTAAGTCAGTGGGGTAAAACGTCTCAGGATCAGCGATAGAAGCGGATGTAGCGTGGCATACGAGCCAATAAAATTCAAAACCAATCTGGCCCAAGACAGATATATGCAAACTGGAGACCCAACATCTAAATCAGTCCCGTGTGAGACCCGTGTATTCGACCAAAGGATCGGTCCATGCAAAATGTAAACAAGATTCCACACCGGAGATTGTGACAGTAAAAACTTGCAAATCTCGATCAAATTGGATTCTCGCGATGGTAAAACAAGTGGAAGTTATTGCTCACTAAATTCGAGACATCATCGCAAGATGTAAATAAAAAAAATTGATTAAAAGTTGAGCGATTAAATTCACCACAGCTGCAACTTGATCGTTAACTATAAAATCGAGATATTAAGATTTTTACTAAGCTTCGCATATTTATGATACTTGAAGAAAAGTTTAGAACAATGCAAGTTTAAATTATCTTCCTGATAAAGTTCGTTGTAAATTTTAACTTTGTTTTAATCTGCTAACCCTCAAACATTATAGGAGACCACCTTGATTATACAAGCGGGTGAATTTTGAATTATCCCAGATAAAGATTGAATCCGATATAAAATTATTAGTGGGAATAAATGAACTAGAATTAGGAATAATTCCTCCAGAATATAACCAAGATACGACTCCTGAATTTCTAAATAGAATAGGTACAAAAGAATTCAATTCACTTGTCTCTCTAATGCGAGATTATACCCTCCTCGACTCAGACGTACCTTCAGAATTAATCAAATCATGAAACTCACTCTCTCATCAATCATAATCGAGTTCCTTACAAACTTTTCCTCCAGTTCTTGTCATTTTTAATAAGAATTCTTCCCACATCGCATGAGATTTACATGTAGAACTCTCGTGTGATGAAACACACATATCATGGCTAATTTAAAGGACTAGTCTCATAAATTCGTGATATCTGTTTTGTAGGTATGAAAGCTGGCAAAATAAATAGAGCGATACGCAAAAGACCCGAGTTTTAGTTTGAATGGAATTTGATTGTGACACCGAGGTCATTAATAAAAATGCTTCTTTGATTACCGAACGACGTCATTTACTTTTCGCGAATTTTATTGATAAAAAACCGCGAAGTTTGAAAAAGTCGATAAACTTTACTCCTCGCCATTTGACGTTTAGTCAACCGGGAATATGTAAAACCATTAATATTTTATATCCCCGAAATCGATGTATAAATCTCGTGGATAAAAATGAAATTATTCATACTTCACGCCGACTTTGGTCTAATAAATCGGCCAACTCTGAAGGCTTAACGGGCTAAGAACGAATCAATGAGCTATCAAATCGTTTCCAGAGCATTTTCTATTGATTAACAATTAGTTTTCTCTTTTACTTTAAAATTTCAATATTTATGCAAAATTATTGCCAGTCAATTACAGTTTCAAGTTGATAGTTTCAAAGTCTGGTACCTCACTGAATTTCAATAAGCACGACTGTACACAACGCAAGTGTAGTATAAGCAGAAAGCAAAAAGACAGCTCGGGGTGTTTGCAAAAGTTTGGTCTTGGCCTCTAGGCCCCCGCTATGTTGTAATTGTATAACTGGTTAGATTTATTCTTATAACTCAATAGGAAAGTTTGTTTATACTTGCCTCTCTTTAATAAAACTCACAATACAATAAAGAATTTTTCGCTTTGACTGAGTGAAAAAAGTTCAAATAAATGCCGTTAAGTACAAACTTACTCAATTCATGCAAATTCTATTCTTTGTGGTGCAGAGAGCCAGCCAATCTGAGCCAAATGTATATCTTCCACGGGAAATGAGCATGAAAATTTATAGTCAATTTCTGATTTGCACAATCAATTTCATTATTTCATGTAGATAAAGAGTTTTGTTTGTGACAACTACTTTTAATAGATTAAGTGGTCTGACACTGTTCGAGAAAATTTCTCAATTTAAAGCAAAAGTCAATGTCACGTACCACACTTTGTCAACGCTTGCTTTGCATTCCGGCATGTTCCGAAAAGGTTCCTGAAACTTTAAGCTAATACATTTAAACGCATCATTTAGAAAAGTTTGTCTTTTTCGCTCAAAGCTGACATTACAAAAATGAATCTGCTTTACAAAATCAGACTACTCGCGACTTCTTTGAAGGCATACTGCAATAGTTTAATATTTTTCATCACTGAGACTCTCTGCATCAACATACAAGAGTCGGTTGATCGATTTTCTTTCCTTCTTTAGTTTCATCTTGATCAAGCAAGATGTGTTTTCCGACAGTGTTCAAGAAATTTTATTAATTCTCTGCTAATGAAATAAAATATATTTTATTTTTTAATTTCACTTGTTTTCATATCAACTAATTCGAATGCTACCAATACCCAAAGTGGTAAATATGATATGGCATCTAATACGTGTTGGCGGTGGGATTATCCGCCCCAAAACTCAATAACTACAGTTTCCGGTGGCAGCTTTTGCTCTTATTGTCCCAGACTGTTTTAACCTACCTTCATTATCGATTGAGAAGATCCCGATGCCGTCTCCCCCTCTGATGCTGTACTCGATATTACTATCACCCCCTGGCGGATCGACATCGGTCGCATTGACCTGCATCACGACCGTCCCCATCGGCTGATTTTCCTTTACCGTTCCGTTCAACACCATATCACTAAACTGCGGTGCGTGCATATTCTCATTAACATCCACCACGTATATCGTCACACTCGCTTCGGACGACAACGAGGGGTTGCCCTTGTCACTGGCGAAAGCGATCAGACTGTGCACTTGTCGCTCCTCGAAATCGAGCGGCTTTGTGGTCCGAATAGTCCCCGATAAACGATCGATTTTAAATGTTCCGTCACTATCGCTGTCTTCTAAGAAATAAACCACTTCGCCGTCGGTGCCGAGGTCCGGGTCCGACGCTGTAACCACAGCAACGACGCTTCCTTTTGGAATATCCTCCCGTATCTTGACGGTGTAAGAGGGTAAACTGAATTTGGGGGCATTGTCGTTGATATCGTCGATTGATATTCGGACCAAGGCTTCGGAATACAAAGGTGGATTATCCGGGCCTTTGCCGCCGCTGTCGGTGGCGCGGATTCGCAGTTCGTAGAGGTCTTGTCGCTCCCTGTCCAAAGTGTTCGATACGGTCAAAACACCGGTCACTCGATCAACCGAAAAATCTCGAGTATCGGTGATCAAAGAATAAGTCACTTTAGCGTTATCACCAGCATCTGCATCTGTTGCGTTAGCTCTGAAGATTGCCGTTCCGTTTAACGCGTTTTCAGTTACACGGAAACTGGCCAAAGAGCGCTCGAAAACAGGAGCGTTGTCGTTAACGTCAAGAACGGTAATTGGAAGCATCCTCGACGCTGATTTTTGAGGTTTCCCCAGGTCGTACAGTGTAATATTTAAAAAATATTCACTGTCGCGCTCTCGATCAAGATATCCAATTACTTTCAACTCACCGGTATCCATGTCTACGCAAAACTGTGAATGTTTGTCTCCTCCTGAAATACCGTAAATAAGTTTGCCGTTGTATCCCAAATCCCTATCTCGCGCTTTAAGTTTGACTAGAGTTGTTCCGAGAGCCACCGATTCGTTAACTTTGATTTCAGCAGGGAAATCGATAAATTCAGGCGATTTTAGGTTTTGACCGTACCGTGTAGGCATCATTGGAAATTCTTCTTCAGTTGGTGGTTTATTATTATTCTCAGCCGCGGCTAACACTTCCGTTAACCTTCTGGCAACTCCCGTGTCCTTGCACTCAAAAGCACCCGTATCGTCACTTAGCAGTCTTCCAGTAGCCATCGAATTTCGTTTCGTATTAACAAGTTTAAAGTGTACTCGAGCTATATCGGCAAAGTGCGTGCCATCCGTTGCAGTCACATTAATTTCCCTCTCGGAGACTCTAATATCGTTTAAGTCACAACTTACTGTTATAGTGCCAGAAGTGGTGTCAATACTGAAGCAGCCGTCTTCATTTCCTGAGACGATTCGGTAGCTAATAATGTTGCCCGAGTCGAAATCGATAGCTGACAATGTGATGATTTCGGAGCCTATTGAGATGGAACGGGAAATAACGCCAATACAGTCGACTTTTTCAAACTGAGGTCGGTTGTCGTTTATGTCTTGAACTTTAACGGTTAATTGCATTTCGGTCTGGCGACGGTATGGCAAACCCCAATCAGACGCTCGGACTCTCAGCACGTACTCGCGACGCATGCTTTCGTAATCGAGCAAAGATGTTGTTTTAATAATGCCCGAGAAGTGGTCAATTTCAAACGGTACTTTATTTATATTAGCGATCAAGTACGAAATGTAAGCGTTTTCGCCACGATCCCGATCTTTAGCGTGGACTGTCGTAACAGAAGTACCAGCTGGCAAATTCTCATCTATCGGTACTATCTTTTCAGACTCATCAAAAATTGGATCGTTATCATTGGTGTCTTCCACGTAGATTTTAACTTTAGCGGAAGACTGTTTTCGTGTCCCTGCATTTCCTTGATCGATTGCAGAAACAGTAAGGCTGTAAAATTGTTTACTTTCGGCATCTAAAGGAACAGCAGTATACAACATTCCCGTTTCGGGATTAATATTAAATTCGCCACCTTCGTTTCCTCCAACAATTTCTAAAAACACTTGAGCGTTTCGTCCCTCATCGGCATCGGTAACTTTCAGTCTTATTAAAGGAGTATTAACAGGGGCGATTTCCGGGACTTTAACCTCGTATATCTCTTTGTTAAATACGGGTGCGTTGTCATTTAGATCCGTCAAGTGGACGGGAACAGACTTATAACTCTCTCTCGGTGGAACTCCGCGGTCTACAGCTCGCAATTTCAGGGTATATCCTTGAGGAGTGCTCTCCCTATCAAGTAACTTCAACACTTCTATATTAAATTCACCTTTTTGTTTCGTTGGACGGATACGAAAGTGGCCATCGGGGTCCCCATCTACAATTTCTAAACTCTTAATTTCGCCGTGAATACCACTGTCTTTATCTGAAACATTGACTATAGCGTAGATATCGGCATTGGAGTTTTCGACAATTTGAGGGTGATGTCTAATCCGGATTTCAGGTGCAAAAAAATTGACTTTCTTAACTCGTATCCGGACTTTAGCTTTACTGACCATCCCGGAGCCGTGTCGGAAAACCGCCCCCCGGTCTTGGCCCAGCACCGTAAGTTCGTGATATGTGCCCTCGTTGTATCTCAACGGTCTACTTAGAGAAATAACGCCGGACATCGGGTGAATTGCGAACTTGTCGGTTTCCTCAGCAAAACTATAATAAATCTCCCCATTTCGGCCCAGATCGGCGTCCTCGGCCACTACTTTCAGGATGCTCTGATGAATGGGCGTGTCCTCGAAGACCGTGGCATTATACTCCGTTGGATAAAACAAGGGATTGAGATCGTTAGTATCTAAAACCGTGACCACGACAGTGGCGTCCGTTGTGTAAAACACCTTTTGTTTACCGTCGCGTTTCGTGGCAGTGGCGCGCACTTGCAAAACGTATTTGTCTTTTCGCTCGCGATTGAGGACATCATTATTACCGGTTCGAGTCCTTATAAACAGAAAACAGAAATCACCTACAAGTCTATCTTCGGCTTTGAAGAATTTGTCACGATCGCCGTCTACTATCTTATATCGTATGTCGCTAAGCGTATTCGACCGCACGTGGATGCCCATACGCTCAGCACCAGGTGCTTGGGTTGCGTACGTTTTCGCCACGCTGTTCTCCGGAATGCTGACATTGTACAATGGTTTCGAAAAGCGGAAGTCGACTTCGGTGCTGAACGCCCCTTCTGACACAACCTGGGTAAGCACGACCACCAGGAGGGAACAGGCGATAGCGCTATGAGACATCTTCTCAGCTCATCGCCATTGCATCTGAAACAGAGAGCAACAATCTTTAATAATTACGGAAAATCCATAAAATTAAAAAAAAAAATTTCGTTACCGTAGTAACCAATTCTATTTTTTAGTCCGCAAAAACTGTTTTTTGGGACTGAGTACCTAAAATAACCGTTTTGCGTACATAATACTATATAATTACTAATTATTTCTGATAAAATATTTTAGATCCTAGAAAAAAGAAGAACACGAAAACCCCAAGAACTGCCAAATATTCTCTAGTGTTCAATCCTCACGTTCTAGTTTGAAGAGAAATTATTTCATCAGATAAGCGTCTCGACTCTCGAGTGTAGTACCTATAAAAAATATTATCCGATTTCGTCTATTTTATTTCGAAATATCTAAAGCTCTAGCTCAAACTCAACAAAATAACATCACCAACATCTATTACCGCTAAAAAACTTCTTATTCCCTCCGAAATAGTCTCCTCATCACAGAGAAAGTATATTTAAATTCGTATTGAAGTTAATTTTATTCCTCTCTCTGTATGGAAATATTTCACGAAATAATAAAATTGTTTTTGTGAGAACCTGTAACTCGAAGAGTTGCATTATTCATAATGTCATCGGACTCGTCCACTAAAGGTTAAAAGCTTCGTCTGTAAGGAATACTTTTAAGGCCTCGGTAACAAAACAGATCAGTGATATTTATTCGCTTTCTTTCTTCCTATTAAAGTATTTTATATAAATAGAGACAATAACCTTTGAGTAGTTGCAACAAAGCTCGATTGGGACTAGCTGAGAAAATAGAAAAGAATCGAATGTAATCAAGTTTTCTGAAACATGGAGTAAAAAGCACGTTCGAGTTTCGACACATCAAAACCACAAACTATCAAACTGATGTAAAATCGAGTACCAAACTATAAATTCGCACTGAACTGTTCAAATAGAGTTTGCACGAATAAATTGAAAAAAAAAAACTTACAATCAAGATTCTATTTTCATTTTTTTACTAACTTATTTCATTCCGCTAACCACTATCGTCATTGCTTCTTCGTCAGCAATTTATCAGAGAAATATTTCCGCATTTCTTTATGACACAACCGCGATTTCGACCTGAATTAAATACTTAGTCATCCAGTATAACGTGGGTTTAGTGACGTCTTTGAAAAAAGTTTGTTCAATGAGATTACAAATACTTTGCAGAGGCTGAAATAAATCACGCCGTGCCTTCTAGTCACAATAAATTATCACAAAATTTCCTAAAAATCACGGAATTTGAAATTGTTATGTATCATTGAAGTGACGTGTCGACTGTTTGATAAGCAACGTCACATATCATGAAGCATTGTCCAACAGGAGGGAGCTTGTTCGATACAACGGCCTATGGAATCGTTTTAACGCCATCATTCCTCTTGACAGATAATAAACATTAATTTTCTCTCGAAAACAATGAAAATTTTTCAATGGTCGACATTATAGTTTCAAAAAATATCCATAAATTTCGTCTATCTGTGACCTTTATTGGAATTTAGTTCAGGATTGCTGGTAAAGAATAAAAATTATAATGATTTATTTATGATCGAAGTAAATAAGATTTTTTTTCGAGACAACCCAAATGAAACAGTATCAATCAAATTGATTAAATTTAGTAACTATATGGACATAAGTACAATACATACATCATCCGCATCAAACCAATAATTGTTTTATCAATAAAATAACAAAACAGATAATCGAAGCATTATTTATTGCCCCGGTATGAAAATAAACAACGTTTCAACAGTAGACCCCTAAAGCTAAATAAATATTGCTCAATTTCGGTTTTAAATATATCATGATTTAAGTCAAGCGAGTTAATGACGAATAGTGGTAAAGGGATCAGACAAACTGAACTATATATCCAATGATCAAAAGGCCCATAACAGGATCATAATCGGAACAGTAAGCCTTTATGTTTACGCACTTACTTTTTGTTACATACATTACTTATGCGCATAACTTTCTTTTTTTAAGTACAATTGTTAGAAAAAAACAAATTGCAAGACAAGAACCGAGGTCTTCCTACGCGCTGGTCAGGTGTCTCTAAGCAAGTGTCTTTACTATTTTATACAAATACCTATTTATAACAAATTTTGCATTTTACCTTACCTTTACGTGCTGAGAGAACAGAACAAAATTCAATTACTATTTTTCTCTTCGAGAAATTCACTCTTTCGTTTTATTTCATCGAAGTTTAAAATTTAAAATTATGAAAAAAGATGAGACCAAAAGATAATCTTTTTTTCTCAAACAAAAATTCGATTGATATGAGTACCTACTTGAAATAATTAAAACATTTAAATGTTTAGTAGCTACTTAAAATTCTCCTTCCACTAATATAAAATTAGCAATTTCCAAACACTGGATCAATCTTTATCGAAACCGACATAGAATGACAAACACCAGATAGACTTATGGGAACAGACTGCTGCACTCGCAAAATCGAAATGCAAAGTTAAATTAACTTCATTAAAGTTTCTTTAAAAGTGAATATAAAAAGCTAGCCTTGCTAATTTTATTTGAGTTCGTTATTTTATTCAACATTATTAAATTTTCTTATTTCCAATTGCATTTTCAACAATAGTTTTTTCCGGGTAGAAAATGGATCATTATGCCGGAAGGGTGGAAATTAGGTCATTACACAGTAAAACTTTCACTGCACAAAATTAGCATAAAGGTATAAAACCGAGTTTAAGCATCATGAAATAATAATTTTATGTATCTTAACGCCGATTTTAACACCGGAATTCAAATATCTGTCACTTACCGTTAATGAAAAAATTATTTTTATCGCATTGTAGGTGTAGATTTTAATTGGTCACATTAAACTCATCGCCGTAATTTAATAAACGGATTACGGCGCCTCTTAAAATTTCATTAATAAACAAAATTAAAAATGAAGTTGCGGAATTAACTCACACCCAGGTGTTTTAAGATTTTACGAGCGAATGTATACTTTGGAGGGAAATTAAAACTGGTCATAAGACCTCGTCAAGTTATTAATTAGGGTCTAGGGTGTGATAAGTGTAACGCCATCAGTTGCTTATCATCTATCACAGCGACTTGGCTTTGTTTTGGTTAGAGAGTGTGTACTGAGGCAATGTGCCAGGTAGATAAGACTTCAACAGTTTGTAACATCGAATCCGCCTATCTAACCTCAGATTTGGCCTCAACCTACCCTAAATATTTATTTAGCGCAAGATTGTTTTACAGTAAATAAACAAATTTCATGTGGATTGGATATAAGACATGTGTAAATCGAATTGATACAATTGTGTTTTGTCCGTTATGACATGTTTATGCAATCCAATTACTTGTCCATTTCGGCTTTCCATAACCGCATTATAGAGGAAGCGCATTCGCAACTCAATTTTAGTTTCAACGTGTAGGAGAATTATAAAACTGATAACTAACGCGAATTTATGCGCCACAATTTGCATTAATGCACGATACGTTTCTTAACACAGCCAATTCGAATAAAAATTAGCCTAGGAAATTATACGCTGTGCACTTGTTTGGCATCAGGTAACTGCACTAAAATGATGGCGGCATTATTCCACCAAAATTACCTTCGGAAATGCGGTAAACTATAATTTTATGCAATACGACCAAGTAAGCTTCCTCCAAAGCATCAAATATTTACATTCTGCACCGGCATTTCGTGCAACTGTCAACAATGCAAAGCCTAGAAGCATTTTTCTAGATGACAGAGCCTTGGAAATGTATGCTTTTAAGGCACGATAATACGAATTTAATTTTAAAACATTAGCTTGATTAAAAACAAAAGCTCCTTCTAGCTGCCGTTTCATTATTTATTATAGTTAGCTTTTGCGACACCTTTCATTTATGTACGTCAAGCCGATGACAAAACCATTTTCTTAATGGAAGTATTCGAATTTCTTATTGTGGCACTCAGTGTTCAAATTTAGCCTCTCCATTGTACGTCATTTCTGGTCACTAGTCTTGCCTTCATAATCTTTCAGGAATGACAGTTTCCTTTTTCGCCATCAAGGCGAGGATAACATATCCACATTTATTATCCCTTTTGACTGCAAAAAATATTTCCACAAAAATTCTTAATTCAAGTGGACACCTGACTCTTCAACTTCTAACAAGCAAGCAGTTCGATTTGCAGTTGTGCCCAATTAGTTAGATGCAAATAATGAGTGAAGGCAGAAGTTAGGTCTGGGTTCCGACCTCACGTAACAGATTTCCCTAACGACCAGCAAACATAACGCCAGTTGCTAAAACTGCGCTGAGTGTAAAGAAGCGTGTATTGTTTATGCAAATGAGTCAATAATGGTTCATAAAAAATACCTCTCTAGGTAGAGAGTTCCAAAGTGGTCAGCGGTGTTATTGTTATCTGCCAAGGCACACATCGTACCCGGGACCATAATAACATTAGGGCAGGGAGCGGATCTCCGAGATAACACGATATTAGATTGTGGGTTCTGCGTTTTGAATGGCCTTTGCAACTGTAGCACGAAATACATTCCCGGTTAAGAGCATGCTTAAATTTTCGTAAGTTTATCACATCAAAACACAAAGATCAGATTGATCAGAATTGATAAAAATTACTTTAAATAATAAATCGTCAAATTTGTACAAACTCGGAAATTTTCCAACACCTATGAACAAAAGAGGAGTCAACACTCAAGCCCAAACTCTATAAATCAACAAAATTATTTTTGGAGATTTCGAAATATCGCTCGAGGTCTTTAAACCGACTATGATATATCGACTCCAAAAAATTCACTCAAATCAACGGTCTGTAACGGGATTCATGATTTGTGTTTCCAGTTACGAGTAATTAACATTGCACACATCATATGTCTGATTTGCGAATTGTTAATAATTCAGTATGTCGTTCGAGTTTAGCTACCTGATATATACGAGTACATGTAGTTTGTAATCCAGATAATTAATTCTAACTGAGAATTTTCGACCCGGACAATAGGTTTATTGCACGCCATGGACCCTCACGCATATTAACTC